TTCATTTTTTTTTTATTTCTCACAGGCTAAATTTTACAAGAATTAAAAAAGCGAGAGTAGATTTCTAGATTATTTCTTGCGACTATTTCCAAATATTTTTTCTATCTCCTCCTCATTATTATTTTGGTCACATACTATCTCTGTTACTTCATTATTTTCCGATTCGAGCTAATAAAAATAGTAAAAATAACAATCTCTTCTATATCCTGAAAACATAATTTGACTTTATATATTTATCAATCATACCACCCAATCTCCCCCTTCTAAGATATTCCGTTAGTAATGGGATATTCCGAGGTATCATTACTACATGCTAATAAGTAAACATGACTGGAAGGCGTTCGACAGGGTTTGACATGCTGGACTCCTTCACAAGCTCAAGGGTAACGGTGTCTCTGGACGAATAGTTGTTCTAATCCAATCATTCCTAACAAATCGGGTAACGAAGGTCGCGTTGAACGAACGCACTTCTATATCATTTCACATTAATGCGGGGTCCCCCAGGGCTCTATCATTGTACTCACGTTGTTTCTTATCTTCATCAATGACCTTCCCGATGCCATCAGTTCCCAAAAAGGTTTTTATGCTGATTACACAGCGATTTATTCCTGTCTTAGTAGCAATCCGTCAGGTGCGATAAAGTAAAACTGGCTCTTAAAAATGGCCTCCAGTCAGTGGTTAACTGGAGCAAGGAATGTGTTGAGGGGTTCTCCCCTTTTTACACAAATGGACTCACCCAGTATATACATATACTACGGCTACGTGAAGACCCGAGAGAGCAAGACCGAGGAGTAGAGTCCAGAGTGACAGAGTAAAAGGTTGTAGGTAACCGGAAGAGTGAGGGGGTGAGGTAACAGCGTTGTAGGAGTCACAGTGAGCGAGCACGTAGACTCAGTAAGAAGTCATACAGCGATACTTCAATACCAAAGACTGTATATATATTTTGCTACTAACACGTATTCCTGGAACTACTAACCTGCTTTACCAGTTTGTATTATTACGTTAATACATTATTTTCATATATTCATTCCTGGCGTTTGTTACTTCTTGGTACCGAATTTCAAACCTGGAAACCACAACAGAATGGCTTGTAAAATTAAACAGCTCCCAAACAAAACTGTTATCCTTTAATCACCATAGAGTATGTATTCTACTTTCCATCAGCATGATTGATGATAACCCCCAGGAGAACGACTCATTGCGCCTTCTTGACACGTTTTCCACTGACATGAAATGGTGTGATTATATTGAATCCATTGCTAGGTCTGCTGCTAAGAAAGTTGGTTTACTGTGTTGTGTCAGACAATTTTTTCTCGTCAGTATCCATATTGCCCATTTATAAATCTACCATTCGTCTGTGCATTGTATGTTACCGCTATATCTGGTCTGGATCTCTATGTATCTCGAAATTCTTGACAAAACCCAAACAAGGATCTGCAATATAATCGATCTTGACTTGGCATATCGACTTCAGTCGCTTAACCATTGACGTAACGTGGCTGACCTTTGTATTTTCTACAAATATTTTCATGGCTATTTTTTCAAGGGAATATAGTCATGGCAATTGTTCTGATGGTTTTTCTTCCTTGGTAACCTCGACTATTGGAAGTCAGTCATCTGTCAGTCAGTCAAATATGTTCGGCGGTAAATCAATCATTTTCCTTTCCGGCAGACACTACAGGTTTGTTGGATAAGTTTATGATCTATTGGGTAATCGCTGGTAGTAAGATAATCCCATAGCTTGACGGCTGGTATAGAAAGTTCGATCTTAACCGGAGAAATTAATTATTGGGACCCTTTATTAAATGTAACCGAACTTTGTGTCAGTATGTTATATTTCTCCATTAAAAAGAAAGCAAAAATTCAAAAGTGAAGCAAAAACCTGAAGAGAACCGGAGAATGTAACGATCAAAAGGCTGATTTACGAATAAGAAAGACGAGGTCTAAATAATGCTTGTAATACTAAAATTCTTAATTTTAGAACTTGGGACAACGGTTTTGTTTTTACCATTAAAAAAACTTTTGCGATTAAAATCTTATAAAATCATCTTTCGAAAGCATTCATTGGTTCTTTTGGTTGCTATTCTGCCTTTTATCCTTTCAGAGCCAAATTCCAGTCATTTGCACAAATCCCAATGTGCGACCGTTCTTAACCAGTCGTGTTTGTTTTATACATCAGCATGATGATGGTGATCATCATCATTATCATCACCATCATCATCAAGTCGTTACGCGGCTAAGCAGGTGACCAGTTCCTTCCACGCGTCTCGACGAGTATTTATTTATGCGTAGCGTGCCTGAGTTAAAAGTATACCTGACGAAGCCCATCCCTCTCCAGTCTTTTAGACAAACAGTAGTTGATCTGTAAGCAAAACAAACGTTAAGACGTCTCGTCATTAAAAATCCTTAGTATATGAATTTGGAGAATCTATCTCCTAGATGGATGATCTAGGGGTCCATCACAGCCTATGGACTTATACTGCTGGACACCAACCCAGATATTTTCATAGGTGCCGTTAAAAAACAACACCTGTGAAAGGGTGGCTGAATATTGCTAGGTGTCTAGCCACCCACATCACCAGAAAAACTGCTTGTTGGGAACTGTTTTATGCAAACTATTTTGATTATTACGTAGATTTATTCTCCTTATTTAAAAACCTTAATTGACCCATTTCCTCTAAGATTTACATAGAACTGCTATAAGAGGCCAGTTCTTTATATTGGTCAATTCTTGCTTCATCCAGACGTTTAACTATTTTTTGACCATTATAAAAAGACATAAATAATGTCCGACTCGCTAACAACCAAGCTAAATCATCGCTTGAGGAAATACCTTCGAGACAGTGTAATTTTTTCGTTCTTTTACATTACTTTCCGGTATTTTCACGAATAAAACAGAATTTTTTACACTGAATCTATTTTCTGGGTGTACAAAAGAAATCCAGCTTAGTACTTATCTATTTATAGGACTATATGAAGAGAAATTGTCCATTTAACAAAAACACAAATGTAGTTAGGTGATAAGATATGGTTACACTGCCAAACTAGCTAGTTATCCAAGTCTTTTCATATCTATCTATCTATCTATCTATCTATCTATCTATCTATATATATATATATATATATATATATAAATATATATATATATCCTACCATCTATTTATATTTATGTCTATAAATTATCTGTATCAGTTAAATTATCTATATCCACATATATATATATTGTTTAAAATTTGTTATCTTTACTGAGAAGAGTGCTGAGATATATAGATATATAGATTATAATCTTCGTCTGAAGATCGCTCTGACGTGTGAAATTGTCTCTCTCTCTCTCTCTCTCGATATATATATATATATATATATATATATATATATATATATAAATAAAAGGAAGAAGTTATAGTAGTTCGAACGAGAGAAAAGTGTGTATATTAAAAAGAAGAGAGAAACCGCAAACGTTTTTTTGTTGCAATGTGGGTTTTCTTTTTTAAATATTATGCTTTATTTTCCATAATTTTACAACACGTGTAACATTAAAACATTAAAAGATAGGATACCAATAACTAATTCATCGTTTCTCTCGGACCAATCTTAATTGTTTTATGACCCTTCGAGCAGAACTCTTCACTGCCAGTTCAAGAAAAAAATGTCTCATATCGAGAATATCTAACATCGAAAAACATAAAAGAGAAAAAAAATTAATTATCTTTAATAATATGGAAATCTCCACTCTTTACCTGGTGACGGCCCGCTAGACCAGAAACACGTGTAGTAAAATTATGGAAAATAAAGCATAATATTTAAAAAAAAATGCACATTACAACCAAAAACGTTGCAGTATTTCTCTTCTTTTTTATAATATATATATATATATATATATATATATATATATATATATATATGTATGTGTGTGTTTGTGTGTGTATATATATATATATATATATATATATATATATATATATATATATATATATGTATGTGTGTGTGTGTGTGTATATATATATATATATATATATATATATATATATATATATATATATATATATTCAGTGCAATGGGTAAAATGTCGACATTATTTAAAACAAGAAAATATTTTTAGATTTTAAGATTTTTTTGACATAATAATCGTTTAGTGATACAAATTAAAAAAAAAATTACTAATTAACCCATAGCTGGTGGAACAAGAGTTGAATTCATACCTTTCCCAACGGTATTCTCACGTAATCGAATATAACTAACCCGACTGGAATTAGAACTCGGCTCTCAGATTAACAATTCCGAGCCATTATCCATTACACCACCCTAATCAGAAAGAAAGAGCTGTACCGAATAGCAAAAATCACATCACTTGAGAACTTTCAACAGCTGCAACAGTTAAAATGGATATCACATGTAACTCGAAGGGAAAATAATGACATAATCAAGATGATGACATACTTCAGACAAAAAGTTAGGAAATATGCCACAAGCAATACTGGAAAGATCAATAACAGCTACTGGACCAATGAAAACCTATTTTAAAAATTGTTTTACATTAAAGATTTTATAAATTTCAACCGACAGTAGTACTTGCTGTTCTATCAATGAATGTCGAATGTTTCCTTATAAGGAAATAGTTAATGTTAGTATTACTAGTTAGTATTTTGTTATCTTTCACTCAATTTTTTTTTCTTTTTTTCATTCGCGTTGTTTTCCTTCATATTCTTTCTCTTTTGCCTTTTCTCTAATTAACTCTCCCTTTCCCTTGCCTACCACGTTCTTCTTCTTCTTCTTCTTCTTCTTCTACTACTACTACTACTACTATAAATAAAACATCAACAGCTGAACCGCTTCATCTCTCCAAATACTTAGGCTGCCTAAAGTCAAATACTTACCTTGCGACTATAAATAGTGTAAATAGATCAACAAGCCGGAGTTTCTTACGTAATTGCAATGAAATGAAACCCCTTGACCACAATCAATACAAGACTGTTGCCGCTAGATTTTATCAGAAGAAACTTATGCAACATCAGACTGACAGAACTCTCAAAGAGATCGGGGTCTGCTGTGATAAATGTCCCATTGTAGTTAGTAAAGAATTTACTTCTAAAGCAAGTTTTAGACGAAGTTGATTTATATTTTAGCCAACACGCTACCAGTTAAGCTTCGAACAAAGATGTCAGATCCCATATCTATTACAATCAGTCTATTTTTGTGCGTGCAAATTCCTTGTTCCCAGTTTTGTTTAAATATTTTGATAAGTGTTGGCTGTGCTGATAAAGTTAAAACAAATTTTACAGCGTATCGCTTGCAACTTTGAATTTCCGTCTTGAAATAAAAAGGTTAAAATCTGAGTCCGTTGAAAAGCCTAGGATTCTGAACCCACTTTCCACTTGTAAGATTAACCCTACACAGTCTATTTTTTTCTATTTGGTCCCGTGTAGTAGAGAATGATGTAATGGTTATCGATTAGTAGAAACGAACTGACAAACCGAGATCAAATTTCGATCGAGTTTGCTTGTATTTCGAATTGATACTGTTCAGATATTAATGGCTTAAACCCGAAAGAATCTAGGTACACTTGTACGCTGAAACACACACACACACATGCATATATATATATATATATATATATATATATAGCTATAAAAGTAACCGAAATCGCTTGGGACAAAGAAAATTACGGAAAATTTCTATACTCCCTTACTATTGCAAAACGAAAAAACGTAAGAATACTGGAAAAATTAAATAAAAAATTAGATAAATCTCCCTTTTCTACAGCATTTAATAAAATATACTTAAAAGAAAGGTTGCTGCCCAAATATATATGATTATATATATATGTATGCGTGTGTGGGTCTGCATGTGTGGGTAGATATATGTGTATGTATGGAGAACGACTATATGCACACATACTGGCAAAAACACACTAGACGGACCACATGCACACACACACACGAACCCTACACACCATACAAAGTTTATACATATATATACTATATAGGTTTCCTTGTAACAATACAATATATATATATATATATATATATATATATATATATATATATATATATATATATATATATATATATATATATGTAGAAAGAATATATAAGCACAGACTGGCAAAAACACACGCGCACACACAATAATACCCAAGAAAAGAGGTAGGAAGACGCCCGGGGACATAAAAACAGAAGAAAAAAAAGATATACTCTTTTCTTTCCCCTTCTCTGACCAAATTTAATTGTTTTATTGCCCCCGCGAGCAAAGGAAACTTTTTCGGCTAGTCCAAGATGGATTCAAATGACTGATACTACGCACAAAAGACAATGGTTAAAAGATTTAACATAGAAAGGGAAAAAATTCCTTTAAATAATATGTGGAAATGACCATTCTTCGCCTGATGAAGGTCAGAAAACCCGAAACACATGTAGCAAGATGTGTTGAATAAAGTATTTTGAAACATTGACATTATAATAATAAAAAAATCATCTGTGGCTTTTTCTCTCTTTAAACATACAATTTTCTCTCGTCGGAAAAACTATGAACCCTCACATATATATATATATATATATATATATATATATATATATATATATATGATATATATATACATATATATATATATATATATATATATGTATGTGTGTGTGTGTGTGTGTGTGTGTGTGTGATATTTCCAAGTTTATAATATTTGCTTATATATAATATTCATTTTGTGTGTGTATGTGTCTGTGGAAATTTTTGATTTGAGCAGTCATTCCACTTTTATGCAAGTTTCATTATAAACAACTGACAAGTTGTGGTGGTTAAGTTTTTTCTTTTATATATATATAATTTCTCATATCTTTTTATAATTTTTTTCTTTTCAGAGCATAATTTATATAAAAATTGTGTGAATATTTTCCAAGCGTTTGCGACTATACTTTTAGCCATTATCAAAGATTAATTTTATTTTACTTTTAACTCAATACATGCATTGTTTTATGCATTTATCTAGAGTATGAAGTATAACTTTTCAACGAAACTTGCACACACACACACACACACACACACACATATATATATGTATCTATATATATGTATCTATGTGTATACACACACACACACACACACACATACACACACACACACACACACACACATATATATATATATATATATATATATATATATATATATATATATATATATATATATATACTTATTTCATTAGACTTGCATATATATATATATATATATATATATATATATATATATATATATAGTGAGGAGGCACGGTGGAATAATGGATACCAGAGGGTCGTTTATGGACCCTTGTGGCACACAGTGCATCAGGTCTCTGTATTCAGCTCTTCAAAAATGTGGTTGGTTCTGCATATAATCTATAATCAAATCATTTATACTGGTGTCTGGCTGTTGATTCTTAGCTTGACACTCATACGTCGAATACCACTATATATATGTGTATGTGTGCGTGTGCGTGTGTGATATGACATTCGATACAGTATGGAATTAGCTCTGAAACATCGTTGTGAGTGATTCGATTAACAAGCAAGTGTTATACGTTCATTTTGCCGTTTATCAAAAGCTCCTAATTACATAAGATTCCAGATCTAACAGCGACATTTTCATTTTCTCATCACCTTTGGTCTTAGGCTAAGCTTAAGATAACTGAATATTCAACCTATTCAACCTATGATAACATATTAAGCTTAGCCTCGAATGTTATAAAGCCAAATAAATAAAAACCCGAAGAAAATGAAGATTTCATTAGATACAGTTTTCGACAGTTGCTATTTAAGATTTTTTTTTTTTTTTGTATTTATGGCGTCTATAATTTTTTGGCCTTTCGTAGAGTTTTCTTTTCTTTTCTCGCTTACTTAGAATCAGGAAAAGACAACTGAAATTCCTTGCACACATAATAAGGAAAAATGACTTGGAAAACTTAGTCCTCATGGAGCATACTGAGATCAAAAGGAATAGGGGAAAAGCAGCGAGCCGTCCTAACGAATTTGTGTGAATGAAAGGCGGAATGGGGCCCTTAGTAAATGGCACAAAAAAAGCCACAAGGAACAGGAAGTTGTGGATAGCCATGATTGCCTCTTTTACGAAGGGGCGCAACAAATAGAAGTAAATGCAATACTACAAGTATGAAGCACTTGTGGATCGGACTCATCTGTATTATTAATGGTCAACAAAAATGTTCTAAAAGCAATGGTTTTCAACGTTGTTTGCCCAATGGATTCTTTTTACCAATGTCCAGAATTTTCCGACACAAAAGGTCCATTTCAAATAAGATGCATTTATTACGAAAAAAAACAAAACTTTTCCATGTTAGTACACAGACATTTACATGGATTATTTTTATAGAGGAGTTTTTTTTTACACCTATAATGGGGCTCAAATTTTGTAAATAACAAACAAGAAAAAGTAAAAGTTTTCACCCTTGAAACTCTGAAATCTCCCTCGGGTGGAATTCCTCCCCAGGGGAGAACCCCTGCTCTAAAGCAAAACGTCCTTGTACATTTTATAATTTAACTTTGCTTTTATTCTTTTGTAGCTTTTATTTATATATATTTTTACATTAAGTTTCACCCTGTACAAGTCCCTGGAGCCACTCGAGGTAGAGCGTTACAGAGTAAGAGGCAGTTTATGCGAATAGAAGATAAGTGTTAACCCTAGACTTGGACAGGTTAAGATTGTAGTAATCGGGGAAACATCTTCTTAGGAGTCTGTTCCACAGAGCAGTGGTTCGCGGGAAGAAGCTGTTCGAGTGGGACTTAATTTTCACCAGTGGAATACGAAGGGGATGAGCGTGGTATGCAACGATGCACTTCGTCCGAGCAGTTTCCATGGAAGTAACGATAGAGCAGTGAGTGACTTGTCACATCCCGCCCGTGAGAGAGAGAGAGAGAGAGAGAGAGAGAGAGGAGAGAGAGGAGGTGGTAAATAATTTGTCACTCACAAGGACTCGGGGACGCTTTTGAACTATATCAAAACTGTAAATATACGAATTGCTTTCTCGTTTGTCCTTTTTATTTATATGTAATTATATTCCCAATTGTCTTTATCTCTTCACCAAACTTATGTCTATTTAGGTTCTAACCAACGTTTCCTCAACCGTTTGTCTCAATTCTTCAATGTTCCTTCCGAATAAATAGCTGTATCTTCTTGTGGTGTTCCTTTTTCATCTCATTGTCTTTCTGTTATTTTTTTTTTTTTTCACACTGTGTTTTTACTCTTTTAAGTGTCATATTTTCCCTCGTTTGTGTCTCCTGTATTTTTTTTCATCCCCATTCTTATATATTTGTCTATTTTACTTTGCTTTCCGCGAATTCTCTCCCCATCTCAGACTCTTTCAATTTCTTCAAACGTTTCTCTTCTCTTTCCCTCTTCGTCTGGCATCCATCTTTACTTTTGCTAGAATCTTCGCTTCTCTGAAAACTTTTTCATAGTTTCTCCCACTTTTTTCTTTTTTTCTTTTACCTCTCTTCGAATTTCTTTCTTTCTATCATTTCCCTACATTTTTTGCCCCACTTCCTTTCTTTTTCTTTTTTTTTTCTTCTACTTCTTCAACCGTTTCTCTTCTCTTTCTTTGTCTCTTCGTCAGACAGCCATATTTTCCTCTTTTGATATCGTTCTTTTCCGTAATTTTTCTTTTTCTTGTTCCCTTGCTTCTCTTTCTTTCTTTCTTTCTTTCTTTCTTTCTTTCTTTCTTTCTTTCTTTTCTCTTTATCGCTTACTCTTCCTTTCTCTTTCTTTCGGTCCATCTCTTCAACCGTTTTATATTCTCTTTCTATTTTTCCTTTATTTTTTAGTTCATGTAATATTTGCACGTTTTTTTTTTTTTTTTTCTAATTTCTGGTCCAAATGCGTTATGTTTCTTTTACTTTGTCAATTGTTTTACCACGGATCGTGGATTGGGCATGGAATTAACAGACTCCGTTTCTTTGGCGAAGCAATCACGTCATAATATGCATTTATATGATAAACATATCCAATACCAAACGTGATTGCACAAACTGCATCTCAATCACAAAGCATTTGTTAGCAAGTAATACGCACTTAATAAATCAATTCTTAGCAAAGAGCGGTAAGCTTAAAGCACGCAATCAACCATCTTGAGTCGACAGTTCCTGTACTAACTAAGGCTGTATGGTTAAGTTTGTGGAAGACCGCAAATAGAGACGCGCGAAAAAGTGTAAATTGCACCGGCTTGTTTCTTAAGTTTTTTTGTCGCTTTTCTTCTTTCTGAGATTTTTTTTATCACTTTTTTTTTTGTTTCCCGCTTTATACGCTCTTTTTACTTCTTTTTCATCGTCTCTTACTATTTTTATAAGTCTTTCTTCTGTGTCACTTTTTGCGAGTTTCCCTTGTCCATTGATCTTCTTTCCATCTTTTTCTTTTATCTTTCTGCTTGTCTGCGATTGAAACTACTTCCTTCTCACTTCTCCTTTTTTTTCTCTGTCTTATATAACTGACCATCTCTCTTAAATTCCTATCTGCATAAGTACTGATCTCAATTTCAATGTTTGTTCGGGGTCATACATCAAAATAGTTCCACAGTTCATTTTTATTAATGACGTTACGATCTATCTATCTATCTATCTATCTATCTATATATATATATATATATATATATATATATTGAACAATAAAAAATATTAAAAAATTAAAATCTTCAGACACACTGGGTTGTATATTAATATTCCTTCGTTTTTATTATTATTATTTCAGTTAGATTCCCCGACTAGTTTCGGACAACATGGCCATCATCAGGAGAAAAAAAATTCTGCTTGCTGGTAGCAGTGAATTAATTACAGAAATGAATGTCTTGATGGAGAAAATGAACTTTTGTCTGTTGTTTTCATTTATTTTTTTAACATGAATTTTAGTCAGTCCTTGTGTTGGTCAAACAGTCTCTTTTAAGTTGTTATTTAAGATAAGAGCTGGATGGATTTATGCTGCTCTGAATTTTAGCTTGCTAGCTGTGTGCTTGCATGCATGTATGTATATATGTATGTACCTATATAACATTATGTATATATGCATTTATGTTTTTTTTTCAGTAATATCTGCAATTCTATCCCCAAAGTTATCACATAAAAAATAGCGTCATGTCACATTCTCAGGATCGTGGAACTTGAAAAGCCATATTTTTTGGTCCGCATTTTTTTTACTTTTTTTAGCATTCTTCTGAAATTAAGCCAAGCTTAATAAATGAAAATAATTGTTTCAATTACTGCAGAAATATTAAACTGAAACCTTTATTTGTGTTTTGAAAAAAAAGAAAAATTTACAAAATTTGTGTCTATTTAAACACATCTTTCTCTGCTTTCTATTATAAAGACATCTGTTTTCTTCGCTTATCTCCTCGAATTCTGTCCTTTGGTACGGAATTCTCTTTGGCAAAAATCTTAGAGTGTGACATGCCCACGTTATATAAACTTACGGCATTTAATAACGACAAGGGAAATAATTCATCCACGCGGGATTTTTTTATTTTTATTTTCATTGCTTCCATGTTGTCCTTTTATAAGAGATTATTTTGATTTGCACCTTCAAAATGAATGACACATCTCGCTTGCCTCTTATGCAATATCGCGTTTTATTCATAGTTTGATTAGAATTAACGTGAGCGTCTTCTTCTAAAACATAACCAAAATAGGTCCCCGGGGATTTGCAATCTTTACCGCGTTTGTATACGTATTAACAAAAGAGGAAAAAGGAATTCAAATTGAATCCTCTTTAGGCAAGGAATCTATTGATGGCTTTAGGGGAATTAATCATTCATTTTAATGACCTTACTCTCTCTCCCTCTCTTTTTCTCACTATCTCTATTTCTTTTTATATATATTTCTTTCTCTATTTCTCTTTTCTCTCACTTTTTCTCACTCGCTCTGTCTTTCCCTCTATCAGTGACCTTCATTTACTTTCTGTCATTCTCCAACTTATAATATGCAGATATGTTCCCTCTATTTCTATCTCTCATTTATACACATAGATTTCTCTCTTTTTCTACTTTTTACTTCCTTATAGTCATATATATATATATATATATATATATATATATATATATATATATATATATATATATATGTAATAAGGAAGAAATGAAAAAGAAGAGTTTATAAGTGAAGATGAAAAAGAACATATATATATATATATATATATATATATATATATATATATATATATATATATTTCTCTTTCTCACTCAGACATGTTATCTTCATTTTTACATTATTTTCCATTTCTCACATACATATACACATAGATTTTCTTGATTTTCTCTCTCTCTCTCTCTCACTCATACACGGTGACATAATTTCTCAATTTTCACACTCTCTCTTTACAACGTTAGCATTCCTCCTCCCTCTTTCAGTTTTCATTTGTTCTCTTTTCACACTCTCTCCCTCTCTCCCTCTCTTACACTCTTTTTTCTTTACTTCACACTCACATTTCCATATATTTCCTCTTCCTTTTTTTTCTTCGTTATCCAGATATTATTCTTTTTCACTGTTTGTTCATACTGTATTTTTTCGCTTCTAAAATGGCAATTAATAAACATCCTAGATTCAATGCAATGTACATTAAACATAAAATTCATACATATTATATTTATTTTAAACTGCATGTCGGGATTACATGAATCAACTACATTTAAATTCCCAGCACTTCTCAATTTCGCCTTTTGCTACTTACGTCTTTTGGGGGCGCTTCTTCATATAATTTCGACTGACTTCAGCTTCTAATGAGAAGGAATTCAAATTTAATGTTCAGTCTCTCAGGATTTCAAATGGAGCCCATTTCACTACTTATGGCCTGAAGTATCAACACTTATTATAGACATGCAAAATACTCCTACGCATTTATTAAGATATCTATCTATCTATCTATCTATCTATCTATCTATCTATCTATCTATCTGTATATATATAAACCTCCAAAGATGCACTAAATATGAGCATACATGATGAAAAAAATGCTAAAAAAAAGGACTTATTTAATTTCATGAAATTTAGGGAAATTTATTTTTTGCCGCTTAATGTTCATATTAGCTATACACAGAATTTCTTGTATAATTTAAATCATGTATATATATATATATATATATATATATATATATATATATATATATATATATGTGTGTGTGTGTGTGTGTGTGTGTTTGTGTGTGTGTGGTTGGAAACAAATATGGACCATATATCGATTGGAATCTAACAAAATAAAATACCGAACAAATAGGAAACGTTTATAAATCTAACATGTTTCGCTTTTATTAAAGCTTCATCAGATAATTAATTATGCAGGAGAAAAAGAACATGCAGACAACCACCAAGACTCACTAGATGCACACACGCGCACACACACACATACACAAACACACACAAACAAACAAACAAAAAATGAACAAACGAATATAGATTATGATCTGAATCCCACATAAACAGATTAGAATTATGACACACATACACACATGAATTATACACACGAACCCTGCTTGAGGTCTTCATAACCAATAAAAAGCAAACAACACAACAGCAGAATTTTCTTTTTATCCTCCATTTTTCTTTCTCTGATGTCGCTTTAATAAAAGTGAAAAAAAAGTGATTTATAAGGCTTACCTATTTATTCCTTATCCTATCATATATATATATATATATATATATATATATATATATATATATAATATCATGATTTATAAACGTTATCTATTTATTACTTATCCTTTCATTCATACACACACACATATATATATTATATTATATTGTATATAGTAGTGCATTGGTAACCAATAGATTCATTTCCCAATGGACACTTTATGGGGTTTTTACCGTTACATAATTCATTATCCAAATTATTGATTTACATTTTGGAATTACTATTATTTTTATTTTGGTTTAAGTGTTTATTTAAAATTTTATTATTATTTTTTATATTTTTTCTACATTATCAGTACAACTATAACTTAATTCTTCTGCTGAAAATCCAGGTATTAAGAAATTTTATATTGGTAGCACAAAAAAACTCTTTTAAATTAAGATAGTACCAACATATTTCTTCCTTTAACAACAACATATACTGTAACCGAACATCCCTATCTAAATATATTTGGTATTTAAAAGAAAACAATAAAAAAAACCACAGTAAAATGGATATTATTAAAAAAACGAGCATTTGTAAGTACTTAAATGATTCATGCCCCCGTGTCTATATGAAAAACTACATATAATTTAGTTTCCTAAAAATATTAATCAGCGAAATGAACTTACCATCATATGTAGACATTGTAAAATGTATTACAATTATATATCCATTATTTTATTATATATAATGGTACATGTAATACTGATTTAATTCCTTGATTTTTTTTAATTTTAAAATTGCCATGTATTAAGTCAATAAAATAAGAATTTTATTCTACTTTCAAAATTATATATAAAAATAATTCAATCATACCAGAGACCCCTTCAAGAGATTTCTAAAGAAAATAATTAAAAAACAAAAATTACCTTATTTATAGGGATATACTTATCGCTTAGAATATTTCTTCGTAACTTAAATGGATACTCATAACCAGAAGTAAATTGTCAACTCGTAATATAACAGACATGTATGAATACCATCCCAACATCTATCCTATATTTTTAACTATTATGATTTAGCTTTCACCTTTCTTTTGATTAGTTAAAAAAGAAGATATACGCATTAGATTTTAAAATCTGGATTTCCTCCCGCTCCATCTTTAATAAGCAAACATATTGTTTTTTATTTTCAAATGTAAATCATTTTCACCAAAAAGTTACCGAACATTGCCTGATGACGAGATAAAAATTTTAAGCCTCGAAACATAAAAATTTCTGTGTTGCAATGTAAAATATCTTTAGTAAAAATATCATTAAAATATTATGCTCTACGTTTGTATTGAGCACATTTTTTCTAAACATGTAAATGCATGAGAACTGTGGATTCTAAATCTGTTTGTTCTTTTTTCTTCGTTTGTACATACATACATACATACATATATATATATATATATATATATATATATATATATATATATATATATATATATATAGAGAGAGAGAGAGAGATAGATAGATAGATAGATAGATACAAAATCAAAAATACGAGGGTTTTTCGAAAAAGAGTCTAGTTATCTATCTATCTATCTATCTATCTATCTATTATATATATATATATATATATATATATATATATATATATATATATATATTGTGTATTTGGGAAGCAATCCCTCATTTATGCAAGTTTCGTTAAAAACGACTGACAAAATGTGTTGCTGGTTCTGCACAAAGACTTCACCACAATAATCAAATCATATGTTCTGGTATCTGAGCTGTGCGTTGCTAGGAACTAAGTTGCTTGACCCTCATACGTCGAATACTGTTATGGAGTAGTTTCACAGTGGAGGCTTGTATTTGTACTAAGTCGGTCCTAAAATAGGTTCGACGTACAAAACGTTAGGAACTTGATATAATAGGTAATGACGCAGTAATCTTATCGTGGTCGCTGATACTTTAGTTTAGTGTCCGGCATCAACTGACTGAACAACTCAGTGAGCGACTTCTCGTTAATCTTACTACTCCTACTTGTTATAGGTGGGAGAGTCTATTATAGAATAGATGCGTTTCACTATAACAAATACGAAGGGAGAGTTCACCATATATGACAAATGTAAATTGTTTCATTGAAACTATATTTAATTAGAACTTTCAGCTTTCAAGGTTTCATCAGATTCAAACACGAAAGAAAGAAATGTGTGCGTGCTTTTGTGTGTATGCTTAAATAATGAATTATAGTACTTTTATCTCTAAGCTGGTGTTTATCGTTACTAAAGAAGAAAGAAAATGACTGACTTTTTAAAAAGCGGTTAATATTTATTCTGTATCTTTTCTTTATAATTCTTAGTACATGTCGACACTTGTTAATATATTTTCCCAGGTTTTAAAAGTAAATCCTCATTTCATTTTCAGAATCGCTCGAAAGCAACAAATCTATAGAGACTTTTCTGAAATTAATCTAAGGCAAGTTCTCATCCAATCCATCAGAATGAGTTGAAAGTTAAAGATTCATGTGTTTTTAGGTCTGTCCAACGAAAGAAAGACATGTGTGGGTGTGGGTTTATTTGTGCGGATGCTTAAATAATGAAGCCTAGTACTTTCTTTCTTTCTTCAATGGGATTGAATTATTGGCGGTGTATTTCTAACAAAATTAAATATACTGGTAGCACAGTGTTGATATCAGGCACAGAAAGGAATCTACTGGATCTTCCTACAGAAGAGAGTAAAAAAAAAAGAAAGGACGAAACATCAATTATAAGAAATTGTATGGTGGCCAGCAGACGAAGTATGGTGGCCAGCAGAAGAAAAAGTCCAACATGCTTATTACAATTTCGAGACACAAGCGATTACAAACTCGTTAATATCTCGGAAGTGTTTTAACAGAGAACGGGAAATGAGACACCGAAATCCGAAGACACACTGGGCAGCAAAAGATGTCTTCCAAAACTAAGCAAAGTATTAAGGAAAATTTCATTAGAAACAAAGACAATCGTACTGAACTGTAATATCAGAAAGAGACAGTTGAAATTTCTATGGCATATAATGAGGAAAGAAGGTTTGGAAATTTTGACAGTCACATGACACATTGAAAGCAAAGAAGGACAGAAGAAAACCGCACATAACAACTTTTGTGATGTCAAAGAACACTCGATGTCACTTTCGTAATCTCGTTGTAGTAGAGACTTTACAATCGCACATACAACTATAGTAACGCCGTTGAACACTGCTTGTGTCAGACGCCTTCGAATAGTACTCGCGCTAATAGTACTTGCTCGATAATACTCGTTTGAATAGTAATCCGTATAGTGATCCTAAGAGAGAAATAGTATAGGGAATAGTCGTCCTTATAGTAATAGTGGATAGAGTAGAAATAGCGATCCGAATAGTAATAGAGGATAGAATAGAAAGAGCAATCCGAATAGTAATAGAGGATAGAATAGGAATGAAGATGAATTAGACGTCATGCGACTTCTTACTTATGCATTTCCTCTATGGTCACGTGGTCTACTAAATTCAATATTGGGATCGCCTGTGTTTGCTCACTGGCGAACTATGTTCAAACTCAACAGCGCCTATATATGGACCAAGGACAAAAATTTCCTGGTCCCCACAACCAGTTACGCTAGGGTTGGTATTCACCAATCCTCCATCTTTAATGCAGTGAGGTAGGCGCTGCGTTGAGAGGGCGAGAGGACAGATTTGATCCAAAACGAAATAGCGATATTTTAATCATGGGCAGAGTACACAGATACTCTGATCCTCGACAGAGGTGCCGACTTAAAATTTAGACACTATGCTAGTATTAATAATAGTAATGATAATCGCAACAGAGTATCTGTCAATGTCGCCGCCGTCCCAACTATCGACAGCCATTAGCCGACTAGTTCTATTCATGATTGTTTGTAAGTTTGGCACAGTCCCCCCGATCCTTGCAAAAAGACTAGGAAAATTAGAAATCAGAAGAAAGAATGGAAGTCACGACATTGTTAAAATGAATGAAAATCCCATAGAAAATGTTGAGTTATTGGTAATTGCTGTCTCTTGTTCTCACGCAAGAAGCTCGATCTAAGAGTGAATATGGACGCTCAATGAGTATAAGCATACGCGTTCTATCTCGGATTAATTAATTTATTTCAGCTGTCAGACTATATAAAAAAAAGAAAAAGACAATAGTAGAGAAAAGTCGATCCATTTGTTAGATTACTGATTAGGGCCTATTAAGATAAAACCACCAACTAAAGGATAAAAAGCTCGTTTTAATCAAGTATTTTTTTTTGTTTGTATCTTTCATATAATTTTTTTCCATCGAAGATTATACACGCGGACTTCCTTGCACACTTTAAGACGATAAAATATCACGTTTTGTTTTTTAAGGGTAAAAGAAAACTCATTGCGTCTATTAAAGGAAAAGGAGGAAAAGAACTTGTTAATATTAATTCAGAAAACGCAAAAAAGAAAATATTTTTTTTTAAGATGGCCGAATTAACCTACCAAATTCACTGGAGCAGGCGACGTTTAGGGTTACTGGTCGCTTAGCTACAGACTTTCCATTGCAATCACTGTTGATACCTACAAAGATAGCGGGTTGGAAATATTTAGATGGGAGAAAATAAAACTACAAGGCCACAAAACACAGAAAGCAAGCAAAGTAAGCAAGCAAAGAAACAAACAAACAAACAAACAAACAAACATGAAGATCTAGATAAATAAAGATCACGATTGGAAAAAGAAAGAAAGAAAGAAAGAAAAAGCAGAGAACATCAATATAAAGAGGAAAGAATCAACAAAAAGAGATAAAAAAATATAAGACAAATGTATTTACAAATAGCGAATGAGAAAAGATGAGAAAAATGTAAAAAATAAAACAAATAAGCAAACTAAATGAGAAAAATTTACAGGGATAAACTGAGGTAGGCAACATCTGTACAAAAAAGGAGAAAACTGATTGATAATTTCGACGATAATAATGAAAAAAATCTATATTTATGAAATATCCAGAATACTTTTTCTAAAATTGTGCACAATCAGCATCCAGGTTTTTTATTATTATTATTATTATTATTATTATTATTATTATTTCATAAATTTGTTATCTGGTGGTCATCACTGTAGAGTGAGCGACTGCAAAACCTCCCACATTGTCAGCACCCTTCTCAATGTCAAGCAGTGTTGAATCCTATGTCCAAATTACCTGTATATATATATATATATATATATATATATATATATATATACAGTCGAATCTATTACATTCAATCTTATTCGTGCTAATACCCTTGGAAAAGGTATGAATCCTCTTCTTCTCCCTCCAGCTATGGGTAAATAGCAGGACAGACTGGCTTCTATAGCCTTGGATGGCAACTGGTCTAGGAGAAGGACAACTCTGAATTCAAAACCTGCGGAGGGGTCGTTTCACCAAATCTCATGTGCTGTTGTCGGCTGTCGGCTTCCTGGGAACTGATCTGTTTGACCCTCATACGTCGAATTCGACGGGAGAGTCGAGGTGTATATATATATATATATATATATATATATATATATATATATATGTGTGTGTGTGTGTGTGTGTGTGTGCATAGAGAGATAGATAGATTTAAGGTATATTTATGGATAAAAGTGCTCAATATCAGACAGAGCGTATGTAAATATAAAAGTGGACGCCGAAGTCAACACGAAGCGGCAACAGTCTGTTTCATACTTCAACACAATCTTCAGGCCATGTGTACACTCATATAAAATAGCCATACATTGAACGATCGAAACCAAATTTTGGGTAGAAGTGCAAACAGGGAAGCGGGTACAACTAGGATGCGTAGCTTAGTACAATAAATGTTCATTAATTTCTTGAATAATTAAAAGTTTTATTATTTAACATACAAACTATTTTAAAACAATTTAATGATTAAAATAACAAAGACTTGCATTATTATTTTCTGCATATCTTTTCTTTAAGTTTTTATATAGAGAATCCAGGTTCTATTTCGCAAGCGTTTATGAGAACTATAAATAAATGACAAGGCCAAACGCTTCAAAAAGTTTGAATTTGGCTCCAGAAAGAAACATTAACGTATGGCCAGTTGTATGTTGCATGTTCAAGAGTAAGAAATCCTAAGAATGTATTCTTCGCTATTAAAAAGGAAAAAGAAAAAAAAAAGAAATTGTCACAAAAAATATTGCTTACATGGAGTCCTACAAAATTAAATTAAATTAAAGAAATTATTAAACCGTGAAGTAGGTTTTTTGTTAAAATATTTTCCAAAGAAATCAGCTCATTCAAATTTCATCCATTGGTTGACGAAATTCAACGAAAAGTAGAGTTTGTAAATCTTGACAAAAAAATGCTAGCGATAACTTCAATAATACTAAATACTGCGAGAATTTCAACAAAAATTTCTTGTATATACAGCGTGGAGAAAACAAATATTCGTACCCATATGAATTTTTAATTTATTGCATTTCCAACTAATGAATAATCATACTTTTCATATAATTAACTGTACACAGATGCATAATAACTAAATAGAAAACAAAGAAAAATGATTTAATAGAAATAAAAACCACGTATTCATTTTAATAGGTGAAAAAAGTATTCGTACAATACAAATTTAAATTTTTAAAAACTTGCTTTAATACACTAGATTATTCAAGTGGAATAGTCTAGAAGGTTTCAGTAATGTTATAAGCAATTATTTTTAGCTTAAAAAATCCAAACAGAACATTCTGTAATTGATATTCGTGCAAGAACGTTATCATCATGTCAAGAGGTAAAGAATTGAAAATTCGCATAAAGAACTCACTGTTAAACTCGGAAAAGAAGGTAAAAGTTACAGGAAAATCTCAGATTTTCATATTCCATTTACTATATTCATTCATTGCAAGGTATAAAAAAACTCAAAACTGTCGAAAACCAAGGAACAGGTACTTCACGAAAAATTTCTTCAAGATCTAGAAAATTAATCAGTCGAATTAAACAAAATCCAATGCTAACTCTTTAAGAATTGCAGGATGTTTTGCTTTTATCAGGAATCTGTGTTACTAAATGGACAATAAGCAATGAAATTCATAGGAATAATATAAAGCTACGTTACCACGGAAAACTCCACTGATATTGAAAAGACACAGAAATACCAAGTTGAAATGCTTTCGTGAACGTAAGAATAAGGAAAAATCGTATTGGGAAAGAGTATTATGGACAGACGAAACCAAAACTGAGTTGTCTGGACGTGATTCTAGAATTCATCTATGGAGGAAATATGGCGATGCCTTCAAACAAAAGAACACAGTTCCAACAGTGAAATTTAGGGTGGTGGCAGCATCATGGTTTGGGATGGGTTTTTTGCAAAAGATACCGGCAACATATCAGATGGTAGAACTGAATGCTGTACTATATCAAAATATTTTGGAAGCGAATTTAATGATTTCGGTTGAAAATCTTGAACTTCCTCCTGATTGGATCTTCCAACAAGATCCAAATGATCCTAAGCAGACTGAAAAACCTACGAAGAAATGTCTTGCTGAAAATAATACAAATATCCTGAAATGGCAATGTCAGTTCTCATATTTAAACCCAATCGAAAAGCTGTGGCGTTATTTGAAAATTCAAATCCAATTGAGAGTTCCAACAAACATCTTGGATCTGAAGACCATATGCAAAGAAGAATGGAACAAAATAACAACTAAAACTTGCAAATCATTAGTTGAGAACTACAAGAAGAGGTTGGTTGCTGTAGAAGTGAATAATGGCTATTGTATAAAGTATTAAATGAAGATTATGTATTCTTTTTTGTATTGTACGAATACTTTTTTCAACCATTAAAATGGCTAATTGTGATTTATTTCTATTAAATCAATTTCTGTCTGTTTTCTATGCATATTTAGTTATTATACATCTGTGTACAGTTAATCATATGAAAAGTATATTTATTCACACATATATATATATATATATATAAAAATATATATATATATATATATATATATATATATATATATATATAATTATTTTATAAAAAAATTTATAACATAAGTATGTTATAAAATCACTACAAAAATAGCCATTTTGTTTCAACACACTCTGTGTCTTATCAAGTGATGGTGTTGAAAAGAAAATAAATGGTTTTAAAAGTTTCAGATGAATTAACGATCCTAACACTTAGGGGGCATTATATATATATATATATATATATATATACATATATATATAAATATATACTCGTGGCCTGACGATTGCGTCTTGCATGAAACAGATTGTTGCCTCTAAGTGTTGACTTCAATTTTCACTTTTATACACACACACACACACACACACACACACACACACACACACACAATATATATATGTATACATACATATATATATATGATTAAACGATGAATTTATATTCATATATATTTATCACAGTCTCTTTACAGTCTCTTCATATGAGTCTATCTATCTATCTATCTATCTATCTATCTATTTATCTATCTATCTGTTTGCTTATTTCACTTTATTCATATATATCTATATATCTCTCAATTCCAGTCTCTTGAAATCTATCATTTCAAATTTGTTTCTATCTATCTATCTATCTATCTATCTATCTATCTATCTATCTATCTATTTCACTGTCTTCCTATTTATGTATGTATCTATCAATTTCACTCTCTTCAATCTATCTCTCTATCATTATCGTTCCGCCGGCGTCAGTATTTAATCGTTAAATTCAGGTAAAGGTCACCACTTTTAATGCCGATATTTTCTTTACACTCATGACACTCATGCCCGCTTCGTTAGAATAATGCTGAACAGTTTTCTGCCCCTGGCAATCAGCGCTTTTTGTACTTGCATAATCTGTGATACCTGTTCGATCTAGGAATCGATACTAGATTTGTATCTTATCTTCAACCTATCTTCACTTTTATGAGTGAGCTAATTCCCCGCTTTATATAATCCCCGTCTCCATGCCACATTTGGTGGGGTGGATGGGAATATGCGCTACTATTCATAGAGCTTCTCACGATATGCATGCATATTGACACATCTTCTTTTATGTGCAGTATCGCTGCAGGATGTTGGCGATCCTGACTGTCTACAACTCCTCTCTCTCGAAGTAACTTTTGACTCTTTACCATCCTTCTTTGTATCTTGCTTTACCATCCGTTCTCGCAAACTCTTTAAGTAGGTTGCACACTCTTTTAGAAGGGAAATCTCAACACGAGATGTGAATAAAATCACAAGAGATGTTAAACTGAAATTGAAAGCAAAAGATAACCAGGCAAAACTAAAGAACACTGGAAAAGATTTACATGTCTTACCAATTTGTAGAATATTGAACATTGAAACACGGACGAGTTGCACGATAAAAATGGCTTCTTTAACTTTTCAACAGCGAAGAATAAATTCTTAGGATTTCTTACCCTTGAGCCTGCAACATACAACTGACCATGCGTAAATATTTTTTACTGGAGAAAAATAAAAAGTCTTGTTTAACATTCGAATAATTACTGGAATATAGTTATTTGTTGAGACGAAACAATACGTGAACTTTATTGATAAAACCAGCAATGTTACGTTTGGAGAAAAAGGAACACAGCGGGGAGAAAATAACAACCTAACAATGGAGGAGGTTGTTTGAAACATCCTTTTATGGAACTACTTTACTGCAGGAGATAACCGGGAATTTCAATAAGATCAAGGGAGAAATTAGATTCAGTAAAATATCTGCATAATCTTACGAAAAAAATCATTTAATCTCTATTGTTAAACTTGGTATGTGATTCATCTTCCAACAAGACAAAACTTCGAAAACCACCTCAGAGTTGTTTAAGAAGAATTTAGAACTTGTACTGTTGCATGGCCTAAATCCAATTAAACGCTACCATATAAAAATTGCTGTTGATAAACGGAAGTCGTCGTATAAGAACGGTTTGATTGGTTTGGTTTGGTTTGGTTTGTTTTACTGCATATCAACCTCAATGAGTCATTTAATGCCGACAACATTTTTTCCTGGTAATATTTTTGTTTTGTCAAAAATCCATTTCTGTTAATATTTTTTTCCTAGGAAATCTATAGCTGGTAATATTATTTTCAAAAATGTATAGCTGGTAATATTTTTTTTTTTTTCAAAAAAGTACAGCTGGCAACATTATTTTTTCAAAAACGTATTATCAGAGACCTTGCTGTTGGACGTAGTTTTATCTTCATACCCAGGACGCGGATGTAGTTTATGTAGAACAGTTTGAAATCAGTCTGAATAGAAAAATAGTGAAAAAATACCACTTTGAAGATGCAAATACCTTACCAAAGACTACAGAAAAAGGGTCTGTTAGAATTAATTGGTGGCAAAGAAGCCCCAACTGATTAATTATTAATAGAATCGAATATTAATATAAACTCATTATAATATTGTATTAATAATCATTGAAATAAAACATTTCTCACCTCACAAAAAAGTTTTAATAACTCTAAAAACTTCTTCCAAAACTAAGCAAAGTATTAAGAAACAGGAAAAAAATTCAGTGGGAATTAAAGAAAAAATCAGCTGAACTGTTATGTAATATCGGTCCTCCTATATGGCAGTGATTGCTCGGCCATCTCATCACAGAGAGAGAAGAGACTTGAGGCAATAGAAGTGTAGTTCTACAGAGGGATGCTTAGAATATCATGGGCTGAGCAATGCTGATGTTTAAGAGAAAAGGGAAAGCACCAGAAAGAGACAGTTTAAATTTTTACGGCACATAAGAAAAGATGGCTTGGAAAAATTGACACTCACAGGACATATTGAAGGCTAGATGACTGAGGAAATCAACGTATAACCAACCTCACGAGTTGGTAGTTGGATTACAAAGGCTACAAAAGACAGAAATCCATGGAGGACACGTCCTGAAGGGACACGGCACATAAAAGAAGTAAATAAATTTCATTACGCAAAAATTGGTACGATTTATCGGATAAAATAAAAACATGTTTTTTTTATATAGAGAGTTAGATACATGTAAATAATCCTTGAAGTTACGACTGCAAAACCTGCATGTTGATCAACTTCGTCAGAGAACTAAATGCATGTATATATATATATATATATATATATATATATATATATATATATATATAATTATTTTTATAAAAAAAATTATAACATAAGTATGTTATAAAATCACTACAAAATAGCCATTTTGTTTCAACACACTCTGTGTCTTATCAAGTGATGATGTTGGTAATTGTTGGTTATTGAATTCCATTCAGTATACCAATTATATACCAGCAATATATATATATATATATATATATATATATATATATATGAATGAATGTTTCATTTGTAAAGATCGCATGCAGGTCGGGTATCCTCGGCCTTATCTCTGTTTACTAACAGCAACCACTGTTTATAGTGATCTGTAAATAATTCTGGATTCAACCTTTATATTTCCTAGTTTGGCAGTTTTTAGATTATCATCATCATTGGTAAACAGCCTCGAGCACGTTTGAAGGTGGCATGTGTTGATAAAAAAAAAACATTATATCGTTTTTCTGTTTTGGGGGGATTTTTTTCGTTGCCACTAACAATAGCAAATTTTTTTTAAAAAACAAAAAACAAAAAAAAAAACATTGTTGTTAAATTACCTTCATGCCGTAACGCAATAGAGGGGTCCTTTCTGCCAATTTGCTTCTTTCAGACGACATTTTAATATTTATTTTTCCCATTATTAAAAATTGAACCTTTCATTCATCTGCTTGTCTGTCTGTTTGTCGACTGTCTGTCTGCCTGTTTCTCCCTCTCCCTCTTCCTGTCTCTCTCTCTCTTCCTCTCTTTTTCCCTCTCTTTCTCTTTCTCTCTCAAATCTTTCTCTCTATTTCTTTTTCTTCCTCTCTCTCTCTCCCTTTCTCTTTTCTCGCTCTCTTTCTATGTGTGTGTGTGAACGCTCTCGTCTGTGTGAGTAAGTTTTCAAACAAGCTATTTTCTTTTACTTTATTATTTTCACTTCACTCTGAATTTCCTCTCTTTCTATCTTTCTTCTACTCTCCTCAATTTTCTTTCTTTTTTTTTTATAGAAACAAAATTAATCTTTTACACTTATGCATTAACTTTTTCACGCTCCTAAAACTATCAAACAAATTGACTCGCGCTGGCACACAGTACAAAGAAACATACTGGAAACTTTTCTGAAAGAAAACAGAAACAAGTCTGCTGTAAAGTTCTCGGCCCGACCAAGATACGATTCGATTGAGAAAAAAATGCCTTTTGATCAAATTTTGGAACTCTCTAATAAAAAAGAATAAATTTTACTAAGCATGAGCTCGCCACCATTTGTAGTTGGCTTGTTGTTTTCTTTCTCCACGACAGTATTGTCCATATTGATCTATAAAAAAGAAGACTTAGAAACTAGGAATGTATTAAACACACGAGGAACAATTTTAATATCAGCAGGTCTACAACCGAAAAGTCTGTTCGTTTATTAAAATAAAATACCTTAGTCTCAAGAAAAAAAAAAAATTTCAGTTTTCCGAAAACAAAATATGTGTGTGTGTGTGTGTGTGTGTGTGATATATATATATATATATATATATATATATATATATATATATATATAGTCTGTAATCAAAACTATCCAAATCATTCCAAGTCTACAAATAATGCACTTTACATTGCTGGAAGCTACAAAACCATTTCCTTGCTAAAGGTTGATTTACATCAGAATGTGGGTTTTAAAACATAGAAATCTTATTATCACATTGTTTTATATTTTATATTTTTTGTATTAGCTGAAAGGGGAAAAAAGTCATCGAGTTGTGTTTATAATAGTATGTGTGTATGTGTTTGTACGCGTGTGCGTAACCGTGTTTGCATATCTGCGCGCGTGTTTATGCACATGTGCGTTTTTCGGTTCATGTGTGTTATAAAGTTGCTTGTGAGGCTTTAGGAACATGTGGATATTAATCGCATGCATTCGCTAAAAACAAACACCTGAAAAAAACATACATTGTTTCATGCGCCTGAGATCTCTCTGTTTGTGTGTGTGTGTGGGGGTGTCTGTCTCTCTCTCTCTCTCACACACACACACACACGTACACACACATACATATGTGTATACTCACGAGCACATACATACATTTATACATACATACATACATAGTTCCACGCAAACAGCTTTTTGGGCCAGGAACTGACACTGAACGCTTCAATTTTGACTTCTTTATGTCAAAGGTCAATCTCACCCCTTTATCTTCCCGCTATTTACTCTTCTATTCATATCACAAACCTCATTCATTATAACCATTTTGACTATAACCCTCTAGCTTGATTGGTTCGCGAGCCTTGTATCGGGCAAAATTTAGTATATAACAAATGCTACACATGCATATATATATATATATATATATATAGAGAGAGAGAGAGAGAGAGAGACAGAGACAGAGACAGAGACAGAGAAAGATCTATAGATAATATATGTATATCAGCTACAAAAGCAGACTATCTAGTGCAGGATAAGGGCATTCATTTTGTCCGTGATGACTGTGACTGGTATTATCTGCCATGTCTTATCAGAATATCCCCCCTCTCTCTCTCTCTCTCTACCTTCTGTTTCTTTTCATATTGCGTTTTGGCAACCATTAGGCACCAATGAAGTTTCTTCTTGCTACGATGATTATTCCTTTTCTCTCTCTGTTCATTCATTTTGTGATTATTTAAGCAAGGCAATAAAGCCACTAAGACGCAATGGGGTTACTAAGTGTGAGAGAATATTAGAAAAAGAAAACATCCTTAAGGAAAGAGAACAATAAAAGAACAGGAATTAAGAAGACAACAGATAACGATTGCCACTACATTTTAATTTTTGAAGAGTAATATTGGCTGAAAAGTAAGAATCCGGAAGAGAATTCTACAAGCAAGAAGTGCGAGAGAAGAAACTGTTATCATAGAACTTACGGTTACATCTAGCCATTTTAACTGTAAAATGATGAGAGCTTGCTGATAATCTAAGACTGTTTTTAATTTCATAAAGTCTAGGTAATATAGAGGAAATTTCATAAGAACAATTACCATGAAAATATTTATAGAAAAGGCACAGGTATTGTCTTTTTGTAGTCGACTTTGTTTTATATTCCCAATAAGTTTTTATATAGTTTTCATTACTATCATTATCTTGTAAATTAAATACTGTTAAGTGTTCTGCTGAATCAAATATAGTCAATTAAAGACACGTGTATCTAAAATAGTTGACATTTCTGGTGTAATCGTTATACAACACAAGACTAAATTTATCATACGTAAAATTCCATTAATTAACATCAGCATAAGTGTGTAAGGCTTTGGGGGATTTTCTCTAAATATGGATTCTTCTCATGAGAATGGGAAAGACTCTTTCCGATCCTTTGCTCAGCATCTTTGATTGGTCAGAAATTATCTAATGTTTTTTCAACTGGCCAATCAAATAGAGCCTAGTAAATTGCTTGCAGAAAATTGAGACAAAGAAAAATTACTACTACTACTAATTATAATGATAATAATGATGATGATAATAATAATGACATAACTAAAGATTATATGTGACCGCAGGAATGAGAATAATTTTTAAATTAAGCCGCGTCCAATTTGACTTTAATCGTGATCTTCAAAATTTCATTCCTATGAAAAGGTTTGCGAAGGAATTCTTCGAACTTTGAGTCAGGATAATATCTGGCACACCTGTCAGCTTGCCATGTCCTGACGTCTTCAACTGCTAAGTCACCTTACCTTTGTACTTAATTAATATTCTCTTCTTACACTATCCTCAAAATATTGTAGCTTTTCCGAACGCATCAGTCTTAATTTTTTCAAATCAAGAGCCATTTTTTTTATCTTTTCTTCATATCTAGATGATTTTCACGTCATACTCTTACTTCCTACTCTTACGTTCATATCATACGCTGCATTCAGTAACATTTTCTATCTTGAGTGGCTAATTTAATTTTATTCTATTTACTAATTTTATTCTTATTTTTATTTAGTAATTATTTTATAACATATTTTATTTATTATATTAAATGTATATTAAATATTGTTTTAATGTAATTTTAGATGTTACCTTTTCACTTACTCTTAAAAATATTTCTTTAAAAAAATCTCAAATTTTTATATACTTTTAAGTAATTTTCCTTTATAAACTAGATGTTAATATTTTAAATACAGGTCAAGGTTATTTTAACTGTCTTCTTGAGTTAGACTTGACACTCCCACTCCTACTCTCATGATATTGGGAGTTTATTTAAGTTCTCATCTGCTACTTGCTTTTTATTCTTCTCCCTTTCTTTTTTCATTTTCTGTTTTTTTCTCTCTTCTTCTTCTTTTATTTTTTAAATGCTTAAATTTTTAAGTTCCTATTTTATTACTTAAAAAAAGTGATATATCTTTTTATATCCATAAGAAGATATATTTCCTTCATTAGACCAAATTTTGATCGCTGGTCCGCCTTCGACACTAGACTACATAATGAAGAAAATGAGTTTAGAGAATTTCATATTCACAGAACATATTGAGGGGCAGGAGGTGAAATTGTAAGTAAGTTAATTAATGAATTTGTATAAATGGGTGGCAGAAAGAGGACAGAAATGAGTGGAAATAAGTCAATCTTTGCTTAGAACAACAAGAAATAGGAAATTGCGGAGAGAGATGATCGCCAACGTTCTGAAGATAAACGGCACATGAAAGAAAGAAGTCAATCAAAGCTAAAAAAAAAAAGAAGCCGTTTGTCATGATCAGACATTTCGATCAAATTGCTATTTTATTGAATGTTTAAGTTCAAAACGGTCATGTGGGGTCAGCATTTTTTTTTAATGGAGCTCACCCGAAGCAAGGCAATAAAGCTACTAAGGCACAAGGGTTTAGTGGGTGGCGAAGAGCTAGAAAACAGAAATATTACTAAGGAGCAAGAACAAAAGAACTAATCAGGAGGACAGTAGTAGATAGCGATTGACATTGCATTTAAATTTTCAAAAATTAAAGTTGGCTGGACTGCATGGAGCCAGAAGGGAGTTCCACAGGCGAGAGGTTCGAGAAAAGAAACTGTTAGCATAGAACTTACGGTTACGTCTAGCCAACTCAACTGAAAATTGATGAGATTTCAGCGCCAGTCTAATACTGCGCTTCAATTCAAAAAGTCGTGGTACCGTATCGAAAAGCTAATTCGAACCAATACCATGAAAGTATTTAGAGAAAAGGTACAGGGAGGCCAGTTTATGGCGGTGGGAAGACTGACTGAAGTCGAGACGCCAAATCAGTACTAATAATATTGCTGATTCTGTTTGACTTTTCGTTTTATTTGATAGACTCTTATATTACGTATGTCCAAAATGTTTTAATTTCTCTTAATGTATCTAAAAAATTCCTCTTTTCTTAACTTAGCTTTCTTGCTAATAGTCTTAACAGTAAAATGTGTCTATTTATTATGAAGTTTTATTCGGAGAATTAACTATTGTAAAGTTGCGCCTTGGTTAAGTTTCAGATCACTTTGACTGAATGCAAGAAAAAATGGCCTGGACGACGAAAAACAGTTGAAGGAATTAGTCTGGTTTATCCATGTGTTTCAATGGCCAGACATGACGTCTGCTACTATAACCTCGAAATGGGGAAAGTAAAGAATGTTAAATAGCGCTCGCCGGGGTTTACTGACTATCAGGTAGAATTGTTACTTTTTTATGGGGCTTGAATTATTCCCCTCCCGTCAGCTTGATTAGGAAAAGTCATAAATCAAAGCTCCCAAGCTACTCTCATCCGAGGCTAAAATATTTTTCTTTACACTGATCGGGGATAAATAAAAATGTGGCACCCAGTTTCTTTGAGTTGTCATACTTAATTGAAGGACACTTCTTCAATTCACAGCTTTAATGAGCATAATCGTATATCGCTACTTTATATTGTTTGGGAGAATTTCTGAATTTTTTTCGGACGTGAAAAATAATTCCTTCACACCAACTCTCAAATAAAATATAGTTAGACATAGTTTGGTCCGAAGCCAGTAATTCAAACAATATAAATCTGAAATACTAACAGGAATCGCGTAAGAATTTGCACATTTTTGGTTTCATTTGATAGAATCCTGTATTCTGTATGTTCGAAAGGCCTTATTTTCTCTTCTATTAATACGTTTTGTTTTGTTTTTTAGTTTTATTGCTATACTTTAGCAGCATTAGCATCGTAATGAGGGGTTTTCCTGTTATAAAGTTCTCTTTTTAATACTTAGGTTTTAATCTGAGTATTTACTGTTTTGTTTGGAAGAATTTCCAACGTTTTTTCCTGTCAAAAAGATGCCTCTTTATTCCTACAACTGTTCTTTCCTACGTCGATAAGGAGTCCTTCATTCCAACTATGCTTTTTTCCTACGTCGATAAGGAGTACTTCATTCCAACTATGCTTTTTTCCTACGTCGATAAGGAGTCCTTCATTCCAACTATGCTTTTTTTTTCTACGTCGATAAGGAGTACTTCATTCCAACGATGCTTTTTTCCTACGTCGATAAGGAGTACTTCATTCCAACTATGCTTTTTTCCTACGTCGATAAGGAGTACTTCATTCCAACTATGCTTCTTTCCTACGTCGATAAGAGTACTTCATTCCAACTATGCTTCTTTCCTACGTCGATAAGGAGTACTTCATTCCAACTATGCTTCTTTCCTACGTCGATAAGAGTCCTTCATTCCAACTATGCTTTTTTTTTCTACGTCGATAAGGAGTACTTCATTCCAACTATGCTTTTTTCCTACGTCGATAAGGAGTCCTTCATTCCAACTATGCTTTTTTCCTACGTCGATAAGGAGTACTTCATTCCAACTATGCTTTTTTCCTACGTCGATAAGGAGTACTTCATTCCAACTATGCTTCTTTCCTACGTCGATAAGGAGTCCTTCATTCCAACTATGCTTCTTTCCTACGTCGATAAGGAGTACTTCATTCCAACTATGCTTCTTTCCTACGTCGATAAGGAGTCCTTCATTCCAACTATGCTTCTTTCCTACGTCGATAAGGAGTACTTCATTCCAACTATGCTTCTTTCCTACGTCGATAAGGAGTCCTTCATTCCAACTATGCTTTTTTTTCTACGTCGATAAGGAGTACTTCATTCCAACTATGCTTTTTTCCTACGTCGATAAGGAGTACTTCATTCCAACTATGCTTTTTTCCTACGTCGATAAGGAGTACTTCATTCCAACTATGCTTTTTTCCTACGTCGATAAGGAGTACTTCATTCCAACTATGCTTCTTTCCTACGTCGATAAGGAGTACTTCATTCCAACTATGCTTCTTTCCTACGTCGATAAGGAGTACTTCATTCCAACTATGCTTCTTTCCTACGTCGATAAGGAGTACTTCATTCCAACTATGCTTCTTTCCTACGTCAAAAAGATGCTCTTTCCTCTCAAAAACAGTTTATTCCCAATACGCTTATTTTCTACGTCGATAAAGAGTCCTTCATTTCCAGTATAATTCTTTCCTAAGTCAAAAAAAAATGCTCTTCATTCCTAGTACTTTTCTTTCCTACATCGAAAAGAAGCCCTTCATTTCCACCCGTTGGCCATATATATCAAAGGTTAGACTTAAAATTTATAATTCTCTTTCAAATGATCAATTTAAGCAACTAGCGTAGTTAAATCGTCGTGAAAATCGTGGGAATGTGATGATTAATGCATATTTGAGCTGCAACCTTTCTCTTAAGCAGCTTTCGTTAAATGTGACGAACTAGAAAAATTTTATTAATTTTTATTTATCTTTTTCCCGGCGTTCTTACATCTTTGCCTTTGGTATGAGTAAAGGGAATACAAAAACTGTCCATACTGTCCTTTTCGGCCACTTCATTATCCATTTTTCAAGATAGTTTTGAATGCTAGAAGAAGCGTTTATTCCGAGCCTTCAGTTGGAATTCGAGAGAGAGAGAGAGAGAGAGAGAGAGAGAGAGAGAGAGAGAGAGAGAGAGACTGTCTATTCTTTAAAAATTTTCAGAAAACCGCTCCCATTGTTAAACAAGGTGAGTTTGATAGTGAGAGAGAGGGGGTTTGATATACAGAACCTCTCTTATAGCAAGATAAGGTAAAGATATTGTTTTAAGGTATGCTCTATTAATGGATAAAAATGACAGGGTGTGTGTAAATATAAAAGTGTATATTGAGGTCAACACTAAGTGGCGACTGACTGTACAAACATACACATATAACTATATTATTTAATATTTGTTATATTTATGCGAAATGGGTGCCCAATGTCATCGACAAACCATTTGTAGACGTAAAAAAAGGTGGACATAAAAATCAAAACCATAAGCGAACGTCAGACCATCAGTTGGCATCAACACAATTGATAGTCTGACGATCGCTTAAGAGTTTCTCTTTATATTTATAGACGTTCAATAGTATTCGAGAATCGTTGATTACTTTTGGTATTATATAAATCGCTTTTTGCTCAATATATTTTTATGTTAAATGTTTTATGTATTTAATATAACAAATATCTCCCGGAAGAAAAAGATTAGCAACAGAACGACAAAGACGGCGACGACAAAGACTATTTCAGGATCAAGTTGAAGTAAGACGATCACTTAATAGACAAAGGTATCTGAGTGCCTCACATGAAAGGCTTGAACAAATAAGACTGCAATCTAAGAAAGGTAGTAGTAAAGTAACTGATTAATTAAATGGTTCATTTTCCCAGTAAGTAATTTTTGTCTAAATGCAGATAAATATTTTATTTGTATAGATTAATAAAACGACTAAGGGAAGTAATCACTTAAAAATTTACTAACTTAAGATGTTACCTCCCTTCCCACTACAGATGAGACAGGGAATATATAAATAAATACACATTGATAATTATTATATAGTTTGACTATGTTATTTTTATATTTTATACGACGAAATGTTTCAACCATTATTTATTTTAAACTCGTATTTCTTTGATCCTAGTTTTAGCTTTTTTACATTGGAACATTCAGCTCATCTATTCACTTCGATAGATTGACCGTCTGGGTAGTTGCAATAAAAAGTAACTGAAATTAAGGTAAAAGAAATACTAGTAAAAAATCAGTAACAAATTAGCAAAGATTTCTTAATTTATTTTTTACATGAAAAAAGGGTTCCTTTAGGATTTGTGTTAGTTTATTTTCTAAGTATAGTTTTACGTCAAGTTTTTGGGTAAGTGGTGAATTGTGAAAGAGGAAGAAGAAGTTGTAAGCAAATTCATTAGCCTTCAGTGTCAAAGTCGAACAAGTCTAGATTTGATGGCATGGTAATAACAAAGTTTATTAATTCTACCAAGAACTTGAGTACATTTGTAGAAACGATTCATGAGACGTTGCAATTAGCGTGTAAGCAAACTGACGAGCAAGGTTACAATAAATTCATTGTCCAGGTTATTTGATGTTTAGTGAGGAAGAAGGTGCGTGAAAGAACGGAGAAAATGGAATCAGCGTGACGAGTTCAAATTCTGACCGTGTCTGTAGCACTTCAAACTGAATACCCTTAGAAAAAAGACATAGATCCATCTTTTTCCAGCTATAGGTTAATAACAGGGAAGACTGAGCCCCCTTGCCTTGAGTGGCAACCAGTATAGGATAATGAAAACTCTGAATTCAAGCTTATGTATATAATAGGGTAGACTGAGCTCTTTAGCCTTGATAGAACTACCAGTCTAGACGAAGGAGAAATCAAAGCCATTGGGATTGGGTTAATCAGGTTAATTTGCCTAGACACACACACTGTTGTTAAAGCTACAACACATGTGATACCTTGATGACCTAAAGGGTTAGAAGATTTGTGATTGTTGTCGTAGTGAAAAGACTGAGATCAGACCAAAAATGGTGTATTGCAACACTATCTAGATATGAATTAGGCATGAATTCTAGCGTTCCACGTTTGATAGCGTTCAAAAGCGTTGTCGCGGCCTTGTGGGTGATGAATTATTTTCCATCCTACAGCCCCTTTCCCACAGACGAACCGTTGCTAACTTCTCGCTATTCTGTCACTATCTTCATTGCAGACGTTCAGCCACACTACCTTCCTTGGTTCCACCAGTCTAGACATTCACATCTAGGCCCCACCTTTTAACAAACACCGAATCGAATCATCCTAATTCACTTCGTATTCCATTATGAAGGAGGAAGATCAACTGGCGCAAGTTATTTCCCAGAACTGTGGATCGGGCACCCGAGAGGCTGCTTCTATCATCATTACAATCCTAATCTCTTCAAGTCGAGGGTCAATCGTTATCTCTCCTACATATCCTTATAATATCTGCCGCTTGCTCACTCCATATTAATAAAAACATTTAAGTTTCACAATAATTAACCATATTTTACAATAAGGACATTCAATAACTCTCTACATTGAGTGGTTGTTGGGCATTGGATTGAGTGTCAAATAATAAAACAAAAAGATTTTAGGTTAAAATTCTGCTTCTTGGCGGTTGGTAGGATCAAGAAATAGATTCAATTCAGGGATCATGAAACTTTTTGACCCCCTTTTGTTTCTTTTACTTCCCTTGCGATCCCAAATTTAAAATATCCTTGAATCTTAAAACTCGCACTGTACTAACTAAATTAAATAAGCAAATAGTGCATCATACTTGATGTAATAAAAACCAATCAGGTCAAATGACCTTCATAATCATAAACTCTGTTTTATAGTTAGAAGTTGAAAAAGGGATATTGTTATCTGAAAATCAACTTAGAACACTTAAAAAAGAGCAAGCAATGTTCAATGTAGCGACTTGAATAGATATAACTAAAGCTTTTGATTTTGTCGATCATCAAGCTCAATGCCTTTTTTTTCATCTGCACCGAAGAATACAACATACATGTACAATAAAATTTAGTTCGATACCACTCATACTTCGAGCCCCAATCGACCCCTTGATTATCATCGACCGTCTGGAACTTCTCACCGACCGTTAAGTGGTTGCTCAGACATCGTTTGACGACCCCTGAATTAGGTGAAGTTTGGTTGGTTATATGATCGTTTTTATTTTTGTTTTTCTTTTGACAGGCAAATTTTGTTATACATCATTTTTATTTGCATAAATACTGAACTACAGTAGAAGTATTTTTCCGGTGGAGAGTGAGGGCTGAATAGAAAAATTGAGACGAGAACCTAACAAATATTACAGCAAATAATATTCAAATGACCTTTCATTTCTTCCCGGTTCATAACGAATGTAGAAAATGTAGAGGGAGGAAATAAATGTGGAAATTTATTTATTTATTTATTAAAAAAGAAAAAGAAAAAAGAGATAAAAAATCAAGATTGGACAGAGAGAGAGAGAGAGAGAGTGTGTGAGAGTGAGAGAGAATGAGAGAGAGAGAAAGAGAGAGAGAAAGAGAACGAGAGAGAGAAAGATAGAGAGAAAGAGAACGAGAGAGAGAAAGAGAACGAGAGAGAGAAAGATAGAAAGAGAACGAGAGAGAGAAAGAGAACGAGAGAGAGAAAGATAGAAAGAGAACGAGAGAGAGAAAGATAGAGAGAAAGAGAACGAGAGAGAGAAAGATAGAGAGAAATAGAACGAGAGAGAGAAAGATAGAGAGAGAGAAAGGGAGAGAGAAAGAGAGAGAGTGAGAAAGAGAGAGAGAACGAGAGAGAGAAAGATAGAGAGAAAGAGAACGAGAGAGAGAAAGATAGAGAGAAAGAGAACGAGAGTGAGAAAGAGAGAGAGAACGAGAGAGAGAAAGATAGAGAGAAAGAGAACGAGAGAGAGAAAGTGAGAGAGAGAAAGAGAGAGAGAACGAGAGAGAGAACGAGAGAGAGAAAGAGAACGAGAGAGAGAAAGAGAACGAGAGAGAGAAAGATAGAGAGAAAGAGAACGAGAGAGAGAGAAAGAGAGAAAGAGAACGAGAGAGAAAGAAAGACATAAATTATCTCGCCAGCCACTCTTCACCAAATTGATAGTTTCTAGTATAATTTTCTTTCCTGATATGTTTTTTTACTTTCTTTCTTTGTTTCTTTGTTTCTTTGTTTCTTTGTTTCTTTGTTTCTTTGTTTCTTTCTTTCTTTGTTTCTTTCTTTCTTCTTTGTATGTGTCTATTCGCTTCTCTGCATACATATGCGCATGCATATTCTTTTTGGATAATTGTACATTTCACTGTAAGCCCTTTTCCTCTGTGCTAGGAACTTACCCGCTTCTATTAATTCTAATATGCATTCATCAAGCAAAAGGGATCCGATATGGGGGAACCTGTAAATCAATATATGCATGTATTTGCCGATTAGCGACACCAGATCCCTAGGGCTTTAATTGTTACTTGCTTCACTGAGGTTTTTCCATACAATTTTGGTGGCCCTTGATTGAAACTGGTATTTGTTTACGCATGCGCTGTGAAACCTTTGTTAATTCAAACGTTTGCCTTTTTTCTGGCGAATAAAAAGGAAAGACGCCACGATAATTGTTCTTATAAATATTATAGCCGCGATCTTCTTTGGCGCCCTCCTTGACTTTTCTTTACTTACATAAGGCCCCCCACCCAAAAAAAAATTTAAAAAAAGACACTTCTTTGTTCAATGTTGCATTTTTTTATCGCTCTTGCTTTTGATGAAAAGATTATTAATCCCATCTCTGAGGTTAGTAATTTTGCAATTATGTTGTGCTGAGAACATAACAACTTCTTTAGAAGCTATTTACTTATCCGACCACGATTGTATGTTTGACAAAACGTCATGATTAGCGTTAAACCACGCATGCGTACATGTGAGTTGCACCAGAAATTATTAGTCTGTTCCATCGACACTTCTTATTTTGGAACATCTCAGGCATCAGGAACTGGCCCTGGTCATTCCCATTTAAGTGTATGGAGGAATGCGTAGCTTCAATGGACGGACTTTGGTTAATTTTCGCCGCCTAAAGACACAGAGTAATGGTGTTATTTAATAAGATTACTTTGGTACAAAACCACAAATATGAGACACTCAATGAAAATTGAACTTACTATACGGGAATGGGAGTAGATAGATTCGCCTATCATTCACTTCACACTCCTCACCGGTTTTTAGAACAGTAGAGGTTTATCCTTTGTTTCCTATTTAGGATTAGGTTTCTGGTTCCTTCTAAAGTCTTCTCTTTTTCATTCACTCCCAGTAGCCATTTGCGTCTTACTTGGGGTGAACTGATTAACAAAAAAACACAAAAAAAAAAAAAAACAATATATATCAGTAATGGTTTACCTCAAGCTAGCTTCTTAAGAGAATTGCTGATATTAAATTTATTTTTACGCAGTGTGTTTTTCACACTTTGACCTTATTGATGAACGTTCCAAAATATTTTAATAGTTCTTCCAGAAAAATTTTCAACTTGATATTTACTGACAGGCCCCTGTCAACTTTGGTAAGGTAGACAACGAGAAGGGGCTCTCCTAACAGTTCATTCACTCACTCGCCCACTCACTCTTCCGTCAACTATTGTGGCATGAGATGCTTTTTTTCAATATACCCACTTCAACTGTACGAGGGCGCAGAATTATACATTTCACGAGAGTATCAGTGTTGACGGAATACAGTCTGAAGGCAAATTCGAACTTTGCCGTTGACCATTACAACTCCTATGCTCTTTCTTTTCTTTTTTTTTTTACTTGGGCTTCAACACTGACCTTTGACACCAGAAGATGTGGGAAATACGTTCTGTCTTGGATAAACTTGAGAGAATCGTGCAGCACAAATTCCTTGTCGAGATATTGTCGCTTTTATTCGCCGCTGTAACTTAAAATTGATTTATTTTTTATGGTTTATCAACCTTTTGCAGGTTATTTAAACCCAGAATTTTTTTTTTAGATTGTAAGAATTCTTTTGATATAATAATGATTGTTATTGATACAAGTTCTGATAATTAACCCATAGCTGGGAGGGGAATGGGGTGGATTAATACCTTTCCAAAGGGTATTTGAGTGTAAGTAAATATAACGAACCGGACTGGAATTGGAACCTTGTTCTCCGCTTTCTAATTCTGAACCTTTATTCACTACACCATCAGCACAACCATGCATCTGGTATCCCAAGCGGTCACCCATCTAGCTACTGACCGGTGTTTTGATGTGATATGACGCGTAATGTCAAATAAAGATAAAAGGTGATCAAATTTCAAATGTAAATTGTTTGCCTCTCTAAAACGATACATTTATTAGAAAATATATTCAATTTAACCACAACAGGGCATATAAAAAAGGCTTCCACACATCTCGGCTCTTTCTCTATAACCCAGGGCTTGTTGTTACAGAAAAGCAAAATTTAATTTTTATTTATATTTTTTTTTTTTACATTAAGGTTCACCCTGTACAAGGCTCGGGACCACTCGAGTTAGAGGGTTACGTTAAGGGGTAGTTCATATAGATAGGAGGGGAAGATAACGGTTGACTCTAGACTTGAACAGGTAAAGTGATCGAGGACACATCCTCTAGGGAGTCTGTTCCACAGGCAATGCTTCGAGGGAACAAGTTGTTTCAGTGGATCTTTTCGCATTTGGAATACGGAGGGAACGTGGGTGTTTTGCTACGATGTAAGTGGTATGGCGGAACCAAGGAATGTGATTCGTCCGAGCACTTTCCATGAAAATAGCGATAGAGCAGTGAGAGATTTGCCACATCCCATCTGTGAGAAAGGGGGGGGTGAAGTGTGGAAAATAATTCTTCTTCAACAAGGGCTCGGAGACTCTTTTTGAACTCTATCCAGACTGTTAAGTGAGGACCGGGCAGCTCCACCCAAATATGTCAACAGTACTCCATTTTCGGCCGGATCTGGATCTTAGAGGATAACATGATGAGTCAGGTACAAGGAGCTGATCAATTTACCTGCATCTTTAACGATGGGTCGCATATGAGAAATCACTTGAGGTCGAGTGTGAATTTGAGGCCCAATATCCTCTCAAGATCCGATGCTTCCTCAAGGGCACGCTCTTTCATCGTAAATGGTGGTAGATCGCGGTCTGATCGGCGGTGATGGAAATGAAACTAGTTTATATTTTCGAGGAAATGAATATAACTAGCCAGCTTTTTCCCCACTGATCGGAAGAGATTTGTATGTATGTACGTTTACATAGGCATATGTTATTTTAATTCAACGAGAGTCCTAAATTTCTACAAGGTTTACGGCCACATCACATTGAAATATTAGTTCCCGTACGATCACCTAAGTTAAGCAACGTCAAGCCTGGTCAGTACCTAGATGGATAACCGCTTGGGAATACCAGATACTGTATGCTTGGATGTGCTGGTGGTGTAATGAATAATAGCTCGGAATTGTTAATCAGAGAACCGAGTTCCAATTCCAGTTGGTTTTGTTTATATTCACTTACGCAAATACCCTGCAGAAAGATATGAATCCATCTCTTCTCTCCACAGCTATGGGCTAATTAGGAAGACTTGTAACACTAAACCATTAAAAACAATTGTGATGTCAATGAACACTGGTTGCCACTTTTGTAATGCCAACAAATACTCGTTGTCACTTTGGTAAATGCTTATTGTAGTAGAGACTTTGTAATCGCAGATACAACTATAGTTACGCCGTTGAACAATACTGGTGTCAGACGCCTTTGAATAACATTCGCACTAATATTACTTGCTCGATAATACTCGAATAGTAATCTGTATAGTGATTTGAATAGAGAAATAGTATAGTGAATAGAGTAGAGAATAGCGGTCCGTATAGTAATAGAGGATAGAGTAGAAATAACTATCAATTAAACTGAGACTTCCTATATATGCGTTTCTTCTATGGTCACGTGATCCACTTAATTCAATAATGGGATCGCCTGTGTTTGCCCACCGGCGATCTGTGTTCAAACTCAGGTGTCGGCCGCGACACTTTATTCCTATATAACAAAAATTTACAATCTAAAAATATTTTCTGGCTTTAAATAACCTGCAAAAGGTTTTTAAACCATAGAAAACGAATTAAACAAAAAAATCTATAAAATAAGAAATAAATTTTTAAAAAGATTTTATTACCGTATAATTTCAGAAAATTTCAGTAAAATCTTATAATTATCTGATATTTTAGGTTTAAAAAAATATTTTTTGTCTTCATATTTATGATTTTATTACTCAACCTAGGGTAAGGGATGTCCAGACTGAGTGGGAAGAGAATATAATAATCCACCTTTTATTTTAAACTCAGTCAAATAGCTTATGCGTGAGCGTATGTTTGTGCGTATGCGTGTACTTGTGTATACATTAAATGGCACAGAACACGGAGAATCGCACGCATTACATATGTGTATGTAAATTACGCACAGTGTGTGACGTTTAGCGAATCAACTCTTTTTTTTTTAATATAGATTTACGTCTCACTTTTTCACTTCTTTTCCTTATCATTATTTTTCCTCCTCTTTTGTTTTACATTTATTTTTCTCCGTTTCTAATCTCACCACCAAACAGAAAAAAAGGCTATTAATCCAATAAAAACATTTTTGCTTTCTGGTGTAGATCGAACTTTGACCGTTTTTTTTTCTTCTTCTTTTAAAAGTCACGACTGTAACCAGTAAAACTGGTTACAGTCATAAAGAGTAGACAGACAAAAATAATCCAAAATATTTGCATGTAAAAATATAGATGTAGTTTTCTGTCTCCCAGAAATAAAATATTAATAACGACATAAATGCTTAAAATATATTTTTAGAAGAAAACGATTTTGTTGCAGGTGAGAGATTTTAAATCAAATGGCGACTTCAGATATGGGAAGCCAGTAATGATGTTTCAATTTCAATACGTTAGTAACTAAAAAGAAAAGTAATTAAGAAAATAAATAACAGCCACATTATGAAACGGAAAGTGGGAAGAAAATTCTTCTCATTCGTGAAGATGTTGACGATTCTGTTATTAAATGGATTTGAGGATAAAACACGCCAGCCAAAGAGAGGATTGAAAGATTATGGCAGCCATAAGTTGCTGAAAAATAAAACTCCAAAAGGAATTAAAGAGTCAAAAGAATTACAAATAAATATGATGTAGAATGGTTGCGCTGAGGATATTTAAAGAAAGAAACATAAACTTTTAAACTTTACTGGGTGTTGTCCGAATCAAGAGTATTAGCAATACAATAAAATAAAATCAATCTATTCAACAAAATAGCGAATGCTGCCTATATGTAGAGATTAAACTGAATAATATATGCAACTTGACTCATATTATGCCAGATCAGTCAATGTGCAATAGTGATGACATGTATTGTAATACTACCTGCCGCATAGTCGCTTCATGAGCGACTAAACCGATTCCTCTACCAGGCTTTTCTGGTGAGCGGTTGGCTAGACATCCGGCAATATTCGAAACAGATTTGGCAGATGAACCTTCTTTCAAGGGTTAAATTCGGTAGACTTGGCTGTGTATGTGGTCAGTGAGATGATGAGACGACATCGATGGCGAAGAGCTTCCTAGACTGAAGTCTACAAGTCTACGGCCGAGCCTTTAAGTTGGAAGACATTGACCTGGAGAGGGATAAATTTCACCAGGTCGACTTGCCCAAAACAGGCTACGCATAAATAAATACCTCTCTAGCTTTCAACCCAGATACGTACAGGGAACTGGTCAGATGACTAAAAGCGCAGTAACCCTACGAACACACCTGGTCATGTAAATGATGATGATTATAATAATGATGATGATGATCTGTTAATGTATAAAACATGAACACGACTGGTTAAGAACGGTGACACATTGGGATTTGTGCAAATGACTGGAATTTGGCTTTGAAATGATAAGGTAGAATAGCAAACAAAAGAACAAAAATTGGGAAACAATACAGAAATTTTAACCAAAAGACATTGTTGGGGTAATGAAACGGATACAATGAGGACATTTGAAATGAGTAACTTAATTCTTATTAATAGTGGACAATCCTATTTGAACGAACAATATTAAAGCTAAAATAAAGGGTGTTCCAATAACTTGGACCGATTTTAAATGTGAATTAAGTTTAAGAGTCTAATGATTTTTTTTCTTTTTCTTTCAGATTTGGCAGACATTTGGGCGATGTTATTTTTCACACATAATTGACATGACTTAAATAACATGATTCAATAGAGAAATAAATAAATGATCACCAATAACACTGATTTATTTACTGCTGATTATGATCCGTCTTAATGAAACATCCTTATATATAATCCGTCTTAGTGAAACACCCTTTAAAATAGTAAATGTTCCTTGCACGTAGCATAATAATACATACTATTTTGAACCTGTGATACCTGTTTTTCTTCAGTCCTGCTGAAACAGTGTATTTTGTTACACTAGCTGATCCAGAGATTGAACTCGCGACAATAAGACATGTTTAACGAACTCCTATAACCACTACGCCTCCATCCGAAAGAACACCAGTTGCGTATTTTTGGAGATTTTTTTTAGGTCAGCTGATTTCGAAATTTGGTTATCATTGTGATAATTTTGTGTTTCTTTTTAGAGATTAGGAATTGTCAATAAACTATATAATTTATTCGTTGTTCTCATCTCATAGTTCTTATAGACACAGCGTTACGGCCAATTACTCTCTGTCCATCTTCAGGTGATTATTTATTATTATCATCTTGATTATTACAGATGTTCATATGGACACCCAAAATTTCAATATTGCAAAGTTGCTTGTAATTTGCATCTCCTTAACGTGTTTGACATGTACACTCTCCGGTCTAACACGTTGTGCATATCTGCGGGAGTAGATATGCACAACGGGAGCATTATGGTCATTTCTCGAGATGTTTGTTCGTATTTTTAAGTTTGAAACAATTTGCGAGTCACAAGATACTTGGAAACAGCCACAATTGGAGACTCTCTCAGCGGGTTGGGTTACTCAACCAGAAAGTATTTCGAATAGGGTCCCATCTGCAAGGTCATGTGAAGCTTTTATAAATTCATATCAGCATATCATGTAAATTTGGCTGTGATACATATACTTGATTTATTCTTATCAGACTGGCTCTCAAGATGGGTATGTCAGTCTTCGTGTACTTGCACACCAGCATCACTTTGTTACCATACGTCTCTCTCTCTCTCTCTCTCTCTCTCTCTAATAATAATAATAATAATAACAATAATAATAATGGTTGAACAGAAGAGAAAAGCATTTATTAAAGTGTAAAAATATTAGATATCACTAACCAGTAGATACTTTTGTGAGAAAAAAGAAAGAAGAAAAGAAAATTGTCAGTTCGGAAAGAAAGAAAGAAAGAAAGAAAGAAAGAAAGAAAGAAAGAAAGAAACAAGCAATACATTAGGAAGGTAAAGAAAGAAAGAAAGAAAGAAAGAAAGAAAGAAAGAAAGAAAGAAAGAAAGAAAGAAAGAAAGGAAAATCAAACAATACATTAGGAAGGGAAAGAAAGAAAGAAAGAAAGAAAGAAAGAAAGAAAGAAAACAATACATTCGGAGGGTAAAGAAAGAAAGAAAAATGTATGACGAAATATCAGATTTTACAGGTCGCTATTATATATCAACTTTGGTATCACTTAAGAAAGCAGAAGGAAAAAAAAGGTAAATACATCAGAATTATTGTGTAAATGTAAGTAATTGAAAAGTTGTCCTGCTGCAGGTAGTTTTTGGTTCAAAAGGCGACATCTAATGTTGATTCTCATTCTCCAACTGTAAACAGTCATCCTTTTACATGATCCCTTATTGACATACCTTTTTTTTTCTTTTTATCCTTTCTATGCATTCAACCTTGTTGCTAAGCAGATAACGTGGCCGAGCTAAGCAAAAACCAGGGAAGAACAACGAAACAAGCGCACGACGCGTAACATTTTGTTGTCGTCTGTGATATCGGCGACATGACGCCATTTTAACTTGAAATCGTTTGAGAAAAAGCAAATGAAAAGGATAGAATGAATAAAATTCTTCTTTTTTTTTTCAAACTTTCTTTTATTGATGCTTCTTTTTTTTTTATCCGGAACAAGAAACAGACACCCAAATAGCAAATATAGTAACGAAATATATGGAAAACATTACACAGATTTTTTTTGTTTGTTTGTGTGTGTGTGTGTGTGTGTGTTGGGTTCCCTTTTAAAAATCTATATACGAGTTATGCGCTGAAATGTTTTCACCCTCGTTTTGATCCACCCTCTCATTACTGAAAATATGATGTTTGGGGTCATCGAACTGTTGTCTTGGGGAAGATGTATCAGATCGAGAAGTGCGCAGCCCAGCAACTGACCAGTTGCCCTAAACGCATATCAGGCTTGAAAACTAGATAGGTATTCATTCATGCGTAGCATTTTTTGCGCAAGTAGTCCTGGCGGAGCTTATCGCTCTCTAAGTCAAACCATAGACGACGTCCTCCAAACCTTGAAAGCTCGCCTTGGACACGGACCGTTTATTCTATTAGGGGTAACCTCCGCTCTGGTCATTGAATTCAGTCTTTATTACACAGGCAGCAAACATAACTATGGAGCTCAATCCGGGGTTACATAGTACCAATGAAACTCATAGAATGATCTGATATAGATTAACATTTTGAGCCCTACGTTCCTGAACAATTTTAAACCTTCTGCCTGAGCTCCTGAGTCAAAATTCGCAAATAATTGGTATGTAATGTTTCACGGTAGATATAAAAATAGTTACAAGTGTTTACCTACCGTTCAACCAGTGGCTAGGCACTAAGTCATTTTTCTCTACCATTGTTCAACCGGCGGCTGGGTATTACATCATTTTTCTCTACCACCGGTAAAGCGGTGGTCAGCGCTCAAAGGATTGGATTGTTCGGAAAGTCAATGCCGAGTTTTAGTTGTTAATATTCCAACACGTCAAATTTATCGACAGATATAATATGCTTTCATTTCCGATTGGAGCAGCCATCAAACTATCTCTTGAGAAAGAAAGTTTAAAATCACTTAATTCGTGTCAATTTTGCATCCCTATGAAAACGGAAGATTATAAGGTGCATTTTATACACTTGATGCTTTTTTTTTTACCGCAAAGGCGAAAATG